TGTAATCTTCAAATCCTATGTAATTTAAACTATAAATAATGTATCGTCAACAAAACAAATAATATCTCCTGAAATATTAGGATTAATAAGACTATATTTTATGTAAATAAGAAATAACATGACGACTTTTCCTCGATTTTCACAAGTTAGCATTACTTCAATTTTAACTACTTGCAATCTATTTGAAAAATAATATGAAATAAACACATCTTGAGCAATATCAATAATACAACATAATATTTTAATATTTTTTTATGTAAAGTATTTTTTTAACCTGAATACAAACCAATTACTACCTACCTTATTATTGTCATTGTCAATATATACTAGAATAAATAATTTTCGAAGCTAATAGGTAACAGTGAACATTTTGTTGATTTATTTTTCCAAAATCCAAATTGGTTTGTAGTAAAAATGTATGTATATTCAAAAAATCAATCAAACGTTGTTTTAATCGTTTTTCAAATGTTTAGGATTATAAAAAGAGATAGAGAGATATAGCCATATAGGTCTATAATTTGTACAATTCTCAATATAGTTGGATTTAATAATTTCGTTATTAGTCTTACCTATAAAAGACTTCCTGGATATTCGACAGTTTTCTGATATATAGTCATCACCTCCATCATAACGTGATCGCTTTAAGGTTGTAGATTATTTTGAAGTTACTATATAAATTGACGCGAAATTCCAAAAAGAAAAATTGATAAATATAGTGCACACCGTTTTTTTAGCTAAATTAATAATAAAATGTGTTTATTATTCAGCGTCGATACACCGACCTGCTAGTATCCGTGCCCCGTGGTGATCTTGTTTGAATGTTTATTTTTTTTCAGCCAGCAACAATCAGTTACGTACCTTTTTGTAATTTTTATTTTTATTTTTAACGCAGATTCACGCTTATAACAATTAATATTGCAATATTTTAACTTCACTCAATTATCTGTCATTCACTTTGACTGATTTTTTGTGCATTTGCGTTAAATTATATTATACTATATATGTTATTACGTGAATATAAGGTATAATGTTATTATGTTTTATCATTTGCGTTGTACAATAGTTTAGCGTATAATAACTAATAAGCATATAAATTATGATTTTTGTACCTCAGTGATTTGAGTAAATATGTCACCCATTGACAACACTTCTATGTAATCTTCGCATCATAATATGATATGTATATAAAAATTGGGTACCGAAGTATTTGAAAAATAAACATTAATTAATAGTACATATTTTATTTATTAATTTGATTTTTAAAAATTCTATCATTATTATTTTTTTGTATATGTATTAGGAAGGTAGTGATTTTATTTGTTGAAGTTATCAATTTTTGATAGTATTAATAATTTTTTGTTATTAGATTGGTACCTATGTTTTATACCTCCTACTGTAGGTATTGTAACTTTAAAGGTGAAACGATTTATGGATTTGATTGCATATTTAAATATTTGTCAATTTTAGCTCATCCGACATCTAAAGGTTCTTTAATGATTAACTATAATGATTACTTATACCAGAGATGGACAACTCAATGATACTAGAGGGACAATTTTGAATGTGCAAAAATCTAATACCAATAGAAAGATATTTTGCGTTAGCAATAGTGACAATTTAATCAGAAATAACAAGTAGGTAAAGCAGATTTTTAAGAAATGATTACTTTATTTTCAAATATCAAATCTAGGAGAGGGTTATAAATTTATAAATGTATATAGACTGTTTTTATTAGTTAATTAAATTAACATCATAAAAAATGTAATAGATAATAATAAATAAATAAAAAATATATTATTTTAATTTTCTATTTAATTTTTTAGTTTATAAATTTATAAATGTATATAGACTGTTTTTATTAGTTAATTAAATTAACATCATAAAAAATGTAATAGATAATAATAAATAAATAAAATATATATTATTTTAATTTTCTATTTCATTTTTTAGTTTATATTTAGGTATAGTACCTAGCTGTATATTATTATCATAACTACTAAATTGTTTCAAGAATTCAATATACCTACTTATGTACAGTAAACACATTTTACTGTAAGTAAAAATAATATTAAACTCTTAAAGAATCATGTTAACTTTTATTTTACTTATAACTATCTACATTGGCTTTCCTTACGATTTACTTAAGAGTAAACCAATGGATGAAATAATGAAATATTTTGACAAATGCAGTTTAGTTTCTAAGCGATTTTTTTTTTCAAAATTTGAGTTTTTACATCCTCGACATAGGTATTGGTCGATTTGGAAATTACATATCATTCTTACTTTTTATTTTATTTCAATTTAACTGTTAAATTTTATTGTTGGGTTATTTAATTTAATTTTAAGTAATTTAATTTGAAAAAATGCCATGGGAATACGGAAACTCAGGGATTTTAAAAAGCTATATAATACATTTTAAACTAATAAGTCCGACCGAAAATTTCGATTTCACCATTGTTCTTAACTAATTGAAATAGGTACTTAACATAGATTTCCCGAACATTTTTTTAAAAATCGCTTGGCAGCTAAACTGCATTTATGGCACAAAAAAGTAGTTATACCTTAGGTACATTTAAAGAAATAACTTTTTTTAAGGTGATGGGGGTGCAAATTATGTTGCCTCGGGGCACAAAATATTCAAATAGGCACTATTACACTACAGAATAGATGTAAAATTAGTTACGTTGACAATTACAATAGTAGTATAGTACAATACTCACTTACCTTTGAGATTGCTAGCTTTCACGATTTTTCTGATCATCATTATACCATAATCCATTTTGCGTTTAATTATGCTTGTAGACCATTCCGTAAGGTGGTGTAGACGTGTTATTGCAAAACATACAACAACTGTGTTTAATATATTTACGTAAAGTTAGAAGAATCGATTTGGAATTTAAAACAAATTTAAACTAAATTAATAATTATATATTTTGTGTATTTTTCCGTCGATAGCAAACGGTCGGCGGTATCTCCGTGGTTACATATGTTTTAAAGTTGTATTTCATTTTCAGCCAACGAAATTATAAAAAAAACATTTGGTAATGTGAATATTTTATTCTTATAGACGTCATGTGTATATAATATTATAAGATAGAGGTAAGTGGATGTCGCTCTGCTGTACAGTAGGTTACAAGTGATGGATTGTATTAAATTTTAACTCAATGATATAATAATACGAAAAACGATTCTGAGTGGAGACGGTTTGTATGGATATTTTATATATTTTTATTATTTATTATAGCCTGTAAATTGTATTGGTATTTTAAATTCGTCACAATTTTTAATTCGGCTTTAAGTTGATAAACAAAGCGTTCGAAATTAAAATCCCTTTTATAGCGGTTTTTCGTAATTTATCGTTGGTTTTTCCGGTGGCATTAATAAACTAACTATTGAGAAAGTCGAACAATATCTCTTTAAAGCGTAGGTACCTACCATCAGGGGCGGATTGGGGAGAGATTCCGGCCCGGGAAAATACAAAGTATACCGGCTTACCAATTTACCAAATATTTAATTTTAGCCAACATAATATTATTATGTATTACTATTTTAACTTAACTACACGTTTGGAAAGATATGAAATTTATAAAACTTTATTCGTAGTGTATATATACATCGATATCAAATTTATTTTTATTTTTGAACAGTTTATGTTTACACATTTATAATAGTCCAAACTCCAAGTACTTATATATAACACAGTAAAAGTGAATAATTTAAATTACTAATGTTACGATTTTTGTATTTAATAAAAAAGGTTATTACCTATTCAATAATATTTAATAATGCGTTTTTAGACTTAAATAAAATCTTATAATTTACTTCCACTTAATATACCTGATAGGTAAATTAACAGAATCAACATGCAAAATGTATGTGTTTTTTTTTATTTTCTAAAAAAATGTTTTACTGTGGTTTATTCATAATAACATTATGTAGGTACTTCAATTCTAAACAATCAGAAAAATTGTATATTCTTGTTTTCCTTTAGTATTATTATGTAATATAATATTGAGTAAAATGTTTTGTCTCCGTCTTAGTACAATCTAACAAATTATCGTTCACTATCTGTATTCACCGATCAGCCGAAACGATATAATAATAATATTTAGCTGTAGTAACTAAATATTATAGAAATTATTGTATACCTACGTAATGTTACTTCCCTATTATTCAATAATTTATAAATTCGCCTAAACGATCGGTTAATTTCTGACCAAATGATATATGCTTTACTCAAGGTTAATTTTGGATTATTCGCCCAAACGAATGACGCTCAAATTTTGTACACCCGAAATACGTGTACTACTGTATTAGTATACTGAATTAAAAAATGTATAAAACAATTTTCGGAAATTTAAACACTGTTCAAAAATTACAGCAAATCATAGTTTTTGAATATTACAGTGCTTACTGCTCAAATCAGGTTGACTTTTTCTATTTTCTACTTCCACGGGATGTCAAGTGAAGTAGACTTTTTCCGAAGTTTTTCGTTACCTAGAGATCACCCAATGTGGTTTTACATAACATATCAAGGGTTGTTTTCGATTTTAACTGTCCTAACTAGTGACCCCGCTACAGTGGCGCCGAACTCAAATTTAAGTAGTCTGGCAGGTCGATGGTGAACCCGTACGTACCACCTACCTACCTATTTTATAAAGAAACTGGTGGGGGGCTTTGCCCCCCCAAAAAAATACTATACAAAACAATTACTATGGGTTCCTTGATTTTTTTTATTATTGATGTTAATTTATATAATTTTAAAACCAAATACTATATTATATATTAAGATAATATAATTTTGTTACCATGGGATTATTATTTTTATTATGTACTTTAAATTTAAAATAACTTAGTCAATATTTTTTGTAGATACAGACAGAAACCAATTTTGTTTTATAATTACCTAATATTATAAAAAAAATATCCTGTTACATTTCAAATAAAAATACAATAACTTTAAAAAATAATAATATATTATTTAAAACTATCTTAATATATTAATAGGTCAAAGCTTTTGTTAAAACAGAAGACCTCATGGCAAAGTTATCAATAATTTTGTCAGTATTAGTTTTTATATTAGATTCGCAGGAAATGATCATTAAATCTTCAAGTCGATCTTGGATCATGGTAGAACGAAGTCTTGTCTTTATTAACTTAAGTTTTGAAAAAGTTCTTTCTGGCGATGCACTGGAAATTGGTAATGTAACACCAATTTTAAGAACACTAAATAAATTTGGAAAAATGTTTAGTAACCCTTTATTAATAAATATTTGATATGTTTTCAAAATACTTTGAGAATCATCAATAGATTCATTTTGAACCACAGAGTTATTTGAACTACTTGAATCTGACTCGTCTGATAATGCATTTAAAACTACAGATACATTTTTATCTAAAGATATTAAATTAATATTTGATTTTATAAGTTGTTCATATTCTCGCACAAAATCTTCTTTGTTAAGTATTTTGTTATAATTATTACAGATAGATGAAAATGCATCAACAGGTATATTTTTGTTTTTCATATTGCTAGAAATTACTTTAGTTGTTACTTGTTAATAAAGATAGATCCTTTGCTATCATAATCGAGTTATTATTAAACCTTTTATGAAGTTCCGATGATACTTTATCAATAATTACAAAATAAGTGTTTACTTTATAAGCCATCACAGGATCATTTATTTGTTCATCATTAGACAATTCACCAGGTTGGCGTGGAACTCGTCTATGTCTTCTTGTTGGTAAGGTCAGTTCAAATTCAAAATTATTGTCTTTGGCAAATTTTCTTACTGATTCATATATATTGAAAAACATTTCACTAGATCTCAAACATTTAATATTTTTTCCTGTTTTCTTTATTAGTTCAATAGCCATAAGTATATCAATATTATGAGCTTGTAAAGCTCTACTAACAGGTTCAATAAGATCAAATACTCTTTTAAAAATATGTGCTGTCAATAAAAAATTAAAAGACTGCAAAAAACAAAGTAGTCCTGTACATTCTGCACCTGTTTTAAAGTCAACCTGTCCTTCGAAACTTTTTATGTCTTCTAAAGTTTCTAAAATGGAATCCAGTGTTTCAAGCACAGTAGTCAAAGCATAAGCTTGAGACATCCATCTAGTGGTTTCAACTTTTTTTAATGCCTTTATACGTGCATTTGGATATAATTTTTTTTGTTTTTCACGATACAAAGAAATTCGCTTCTTACTACAACTGATGAAAGTAAATAGTTTCTCCATATTTCCAAATAAATCGACAGCTTTAGCGCATGAACCAACTGTAGAAGTTATTATTAAATCAAGTCTATGGGCATGACACCAAATAAATATTGCTTGAGGATTTACCTCTTTGATTTTTGTCTGTAGCCCGTTGTATTTACCTTGCATACTGGCTGCTCCATCATAAGACTGTCCAACTAAGAAAGTTTTCCAGTCCAAATGATTGTACTTCATAACTTTTATAAACAAATCAAAAAGAGCTTGCCCAGTAGTGAATATTGATTCTTTGATGGAAATAAGTCTTTCAAATACTTTTTCTTCTTTTGTATACCGAATCACAAATGAAACTTGTTCTCTTTTCGATACATCAAAAGTAGAATCTATACTTATGCTGAAGAATTTAGCATTTTGGATCTCAAATTTAATAATAACTAATATTTCTTGTGCTAGAGCATTTATAAGTAAATTTTGACGTTGCCAAGATATAAATGAAAGTTCTTTTCTGCCGCTTATTTGAAGATTTGAAATATGAATTGAGAGAGCTGGAGAATACTTTGCCATAAGCTCGACCAAATCTTTGAAATTGCCTTTATTAATATTCGACCAATGTTCCCGATGACCTCGAAAAGCCAATGAGTGGTATCCCAGATATTTAGTAATTTCTATCAACTGTCCTACTATTTCACGATTGAGTGCTACTTGCTTCTTTTTTTCTTCAACTATTGATGGTATTAATGGTAACGTTAATTACGGGGCCCGCTATATTACATTTGCTGTTTTTGCTTTTCGAAAAATACTATATTTTTGCTTTCTGTCTCTCATCGTTGCGCCATCATAGATTGCCTACCTGATATACCTACTATTGCATACTGTCCGCAATCCAATTCGTATTATCTTATTTTGAAAAATCGGGAAAAAAATGCAAATTTACTGGGCTGGTACCTAATAGGAATTTAAGAATACATAGTTATTTGAAAAAGCGGCCCACCGGGAAAACTCCCGAATTCCCGGTGGCACAATCCGCCCCTGCCTACCATCTTGATCCAATTTGCTAAAATATAAGATACTGTGTGTTGAAATCGAAGCACTCCTTCTGGTAAATATTTTTTATACAGGATAAAAAAAAATAATAATAAACACTATTTTAAAACCACCAATTAAAATTTAATGAGTGTAAAAATATCATTTGTATGTAGATATTCTATTTACTCACAAGTATCTATGTACAAATTATAGATATACATACGCACACACATATAATCGGCAATCCACTAACAAAAAAATAACCAAGTACCTACTTCATGTTTTAATGATTTCGTTTATTGATAATTTACATTATCAGATTTGCCTATAAAAACAATATTATCATAATAGGCATACAATTTTTTTTAAATATATTAATGGAGTAAAATACATAAATTTAAGAAATAAAAATGTGTAGGTAAATAATTGATATATTATAATATAATATAATATTAGATGCATAGCTATGTTATAGATATAAATCTATGGGTGGAGGGGAATTTTTAATAACAAAAATAATTATATTCAAATTAAACTATCCATTGTTATTGTACATGTTAAATAATATGTTAAAAAACAATTAGGTTGGTTATTAACTAAAAATTATTAATAATTATAAAATATTTGTAACTACATTATAAAACAAAGTAAAATAAATGTAAATGATATATAAACATGAATAGTTCTTGAAAAATATAGATATTAGACTATCAACATTAAAAACATGGAACATTTTGAAACATACATAAATTATTTTTTAAATTGTAAGTCATATATTTGACTGCATTAAAATATATAAAAATTTGTTTCGGATAAAATAATGTATCAACTACCAACAATCAATATACATGGTTGGATAGGACTATAAATAATATAAGTGTTTACGCCCGAGAATTTAACCGTAACAGCCGAAGTGACCACTCGGTGATGCCCGAGAACAATTTTGTTTATGAGGAGGGTGTTTGACGTTGGCCTGTGTCACTCCTACCGCCTACTATTGTGGTAGATAGGCAATCCTAGGTGCTTTCGCCTGATGGTTGGTGGGTAGGCAATTCTACGCACGACGACGACAACGACGAGGATGGGAAAGACCTATTTGACGGAGTGACGGTGGTGCAGGCTAGTTATGGGGAGGGGGTCTCTGTGGCCGATTCGGTTTGGTGCAATGTCCACAGAGCTCACAACAATAGGGATAAGACTTAAAACTACCTTAACCCTACTGCAGTCTTGAGATGACCCACTGGATTGACGCTGTTGGCATTCGTCGACCTGGACGACCTGGGGCGGCCTATCACCCAACGTACATACCTACGTTGCTGGCGGACTTACGCTCGGAATCTGACGGCACCGACGTTGACAACAACGAGCTGCCAAGGGTGTTTACGAGAGTGATAATAACAAAGTACAGACTTACGAATTTTTGTTGGAGATCGTATTTTTATTGTTTCTCAGATTGTTTAGTGTGTAATGGGATTACGTAATATCATGTATTTGCTCATAAAAGCAACCAGGAATGCGACCACACCCAAAAGTGTTTACGACTAGAATACCACTTTTAGTCGTGAGGTCCGAATCATATCAAGGACGACTGTACACGCGCTACCCGCTTTCAAAGGACGCCGCCACCATATATATAGGGGACAGCGAGACAGCCTGAGTAGATGTACCAGAGCCGCCAAGACCGAGCGAGCCGCTTAGCCACCAGCCATTACACACAACTTACACGGAGATTATCATTCTAGAACGAGCTACAATTCACTCAACTACACAATCAACACGACTGTTCTGCTTATTTTGTCTGGTTTAATAAAATACATTTGATTACTATACTAATTTGAGTATTTGACTATTGTTATTTATAAAAGTACATCAGCTTTTGGATCCCTGAAGGGCCGTTCGTAACAAGTGACACACAGTTTAATAATAAAAAATAATAATAATAATAATCGGCAACCGTGTGCACCATGAAATATAAACTAAACAAATATTTGTTGAACTCGCTTTACTTGCGGACCACACACACCATTCACGGATCGCTATATTAGCAGATCACAACAAAATAATATATTTAAATTTATATTAAGAATAATATTGATCGCTATATGAGCGGATCACACAATATATAAAACAAAAAAACGTATGGACGCTGTAATAGCGGACCAAAAAACACGAATCATAATAAATGAATAATAATAATAATAATAATGCAAAAGGGCGTTGGCCGCAATAATAAAAACAAACACAAAGTTTTTATCTCATAGAGATAACATCGAAAACATTAATCTGAGGCAAAAGGCCGACAGATAATTTTTATGAGATAGACAAAGAGAATAATATATACAATATGAAATACAACCATCGTACAATTATAATAATTAGGTATCATAATCGTTTTTCAATAGTAACGGCATGAGTAACGGGATGAGTGGTCGGAAGAGGAGGGAAGATGTCGCCGTCGCGCAGATTAGCGTCCCGCGATAAGCAATAATTTGTTGCAATAGCCAAGGCTAGGACCACACAAGAATATAATATTATTACTACAGTATTACGCAATACGCATGGACGCATGGTGTACGTGGCACAATATATTAATTACTATTAACGAGTGCCACAAGGAAAAGTACTAAAGTACTAGAGGAGCCATAGCGAATACCTAAGTGGAACCTTGTAAAGGACCATGTAATCTGACTGTTGTCTACTTGTCTACTATATAATGGCTCCCCAGCAGTTAGACCAGACACACTATTTCTGCGTGACGACTAGTTGACAGTATTCATGCTTGAGATATGAGTGCTAGAGATATGAGTGCTTAAAAAGTATTAACCACTAACCTTTGGTCAATAAATTTATAATAATAATTAATTTGACTACGTGTTACTTCATTTGATTCGACCTTGTCATTTGTCAACCGAACTCCACATCTGGTTCGCAACAAATTGCTTGGCGCGAACACCTACCTAAAGCATTGGCTGCGATTGGAAGGCTTAGCCCCCCAAAATTATTAAACATTTTTCATAGTATAAAATATTAAAATAGGTACGTATCCCTATTAATACATGAGTTTTTCTACGTATATGTTATAAACACTTAATTTTTATCTTATCTTACGTATTTTTCAAATTATAATTGATGTACCTATATTATCTGCAAGCGTGGCTACTCGCTCGCTGCGCTGCGCTCGGACAAATTTCCGGAAACTTACCGTTCAAAAGTTATGGCAATTCAAAGTCATTACGCGTAAGTCATTAACACCACCTTAAGTAGGTTACAGGAAAAGTTATGTTGTAGTATATGGGCAGTCATTATGCGTGTATCGGCACTCGTCGCTACGCTCCTCGGCGACGTCGCTCCGCTCCGCAAATCGAAAATATCCCCCGACTTGCTATGCAACACCACCTCAAGTATGTCACAGGGTACATAATACATAACTACATAAGTTTCAAAAAAAAAGGTATGCCTACCGAATACGTATGTACCAAAAAATAACAAAAATGGTTCTCCGCGCGTCATTATAATAGTAGTGTTGCGCGCATGCGTATAAACGTAAAATCGAAAACTTTGGAAGGCCATAACTTCGGAACTAAATGAGAGCGTCAAAATCTGATTGCACCATCGTTCGTAACTCGATGAGATACATAAGTTTCGATAAAAAAAATTGAAAAAATCGCTTGGCCCCTAAACTAGATTTATGCCTTATTTTACAACAATTGACCAAATCTTGGAACTTATCACAAACATTTTTTTCCCGAAATGTTGTCAAAATAAAGTTCAAAACATGAACTACTACATGACAAAATAGTAGTAGACTATTTTGTCATGATTATACCATAATAATTATACATTTATACCTAATCGTCGTCGGTACGGATTGTTATCGCATTATCGCAATGACAAAAATAGAAATTTCCCATAATCAGACTTTGATAAACATTATTAATGTGCTGATTGCCGCTTCGACTATTTCGTCTTTCGTGTTGCGTCGTTCACTGTTGTTTGTAAATCGTAATTTTCTTTGTCTATGTACATAATATCATGACAAAAATAATTTGTCATGCATAATATTGAGGTTATACCATAGAGTAAGAATATTGACTATTGAGTGTAATACACGTTTTCGGTTAATCATATTATTCGTTTTATACCTT